CCAGGCCCCTAGATGCGCACAGTACTTCCATCCTGTCACTCTGAGCCCCAATGGGGAAACAGGCAGCAACTGATCCTTGGTGGCTATGAAACCCTCTGGGGGGCACGAGGTAAAAAGCATGGGCTTTGAACCCAACAATTTCAGGGACTGGAATGCTTAGCGTGTGGACCCAGACCCTTCTGGGCCTCAGGTCCCTGCCTGTAAAGCGGGCCACCTCACTGAGGCTGCCAGGAGTTGGATGCACAAGCCGCCTGTCCTGCAGCCAGAAGTTGCCCAACGTGTTGGTCTTTTTCTTTCACTCTCCCCCAAATCAGAGTGAGGGTCCGGCAAGGAGGGGAGGTGGTGAGTGGAGTGGGGGGAGCTCTGGCTCTGCCTCTGGAGCCCCCAGGGCCAGCTGCCTCTGAGGGCCTCTGTGCTTCTGGGCGTGGGAAGAGCGTGGGGTGAAGGGAGTGAGGAGTCCTGGGCAGGTGCAGCCCCGTGCCCGTGCCCGGAGCCCCAGCACCCAGGAAGAGTTCCCAGCCCGCCCTCAGCTCCAGGCCAAGTGCCCTCAGGGCCTCTGGCGCTTGCCAGGGCCCTCCGCTGCTCCTCTGAGCAATTACATAATGAAGCCTGGGTGCGTGGCTGCGGAGCCGCCTTTGTTATTGTAATCTGCCTCGGCAGCGGCAGCCCTCGAGTATTAATAAACCGATCACTCACGGTGCCAGGCTAGGCTTTATTTATGTAGATTTGGATTGGGGTACCTCTGAGGGAATCATAAACAGACACACGGGCCTCCTCTCCCGGCCTCCTCTCCCGGGAGGGAGGAATGGAGCTGGCCCCTCAGCACGGAGCCCCCCTCATCCCGACCCAGTCCACAGTCTGATCTTGAGATCGCAAACAAAAATACTCCTGCCCTTGCAGCTCAGTTGGTCGGAGCGTCATCCCTACACCAGTCAGGGCACATTCCCCAGGGACACTCATTACCCTCCCTGGGCGAATGGGCAAAACAAAGTGCCCAGTGTCCTTTCACAACTAGGAATCTGCTTCACGAACTCCACATGGTTCTCAAACCTCAGCTCCTTTGGGAATCTCCCGGGGCTGGGGAAACGCAGGCTGTTGCCCAGCCCCTCCCTGTCCCTGCGGGTTCCCATTCCGTGGTGTGAAGCGGGACTGAGACGTTGCCTTTCTAACACACGCCCTGTGAGCACACGGTGAGAACCGCTGCTCCAAGGCGATTTTATGAATTAGAATCTGTTGGCACAGGGGACGCTCAGCACTTTGAATCTGGACCCAGCCCGAGGCTCCTGTTGGTTTGGCAGAAGTGTCAACGTGCCCACAAGGAATAATCCACACTCCATCCTGCCTGAGTCCTGGAAGCTTCCCCCTTCATAGCACAGAGCCACAGGTGTCCTGGGCCTAGGGTTCAAGGTCCTCAGACATGTCCCCCACCCGCAGCTGGTGGAGGATGGTGTTCCTGCAGGAAGCCACATGCACTCCCCTCCACTTCCACTCCATTCACTGAGTCAATGAACAATTACTGAGCCTTTCTGGTGAGCCAGGCCCTAAGCTCAGGACCTAATGTAGAGTCTCACTTAATCCTCCAAGTACCCTGTGAGTCATCACAGTTTCCCTCTTTCCATTTGACAGATGAAGAAAAAGAGGCTCAGAGAGGCCGAGAAACTTTCCCGAGGCCAGAGAGGAAGTTAGGGAGGCCTAGGCCCTTGGCCCTAAACCCCAGAAGGTCTGACTCCCAAGTCCTGTTCTCACCTGTCCCCTTAAGTGTCACTCTGCTGGATGCAGAAAAGGGCTCACGGTGGCCCTCTGGCTCCAGAGCTGTCACATCCTTCCTTTGGGAAAGGCTGGCCTCCATCCTGCTGTCTGTCCCCGCAGGTGAGGAGCTGCTTGGCATTCCACAGCAGCAGCAGCAGGAGAAGGATTCCCAGGAGGGGGAGTGGCCTGGCGGAAGAGGGTGGAGGGGAGGCCTGTCTCAGAGTTCCTGAGCTCCCAGCTGCTTCTCCCAGGCGCCAAGGCTTTGCTCAGCCTGGGACCACCGGGGTGGAGAGGAAAGCCCCAGAGGTCTTACCAGGGAAGGAAGCTCTAGAGGAAGTGAGGGGAGCCAGGGAGAGAAAGTGGTGGGAAGGATGAGTGCCCAGCCCCTCTGCCTCATTCCTTGGGACAGTGGCCTTTTTGTCCTGGGCCAAAATGGTGCTCCTTATGGCAGCTTCACCCACCCTGGCCTGACAACCCCAGAGCCACCTTTCACAGTTTACAAAGCACCAGCACCCCTGCGGCCCTCTCCCTCCCTCCTCCTCTGGCTGCCCGTTAATAAGACCAGCAACAATAATTTACTACGTGCCCGCTCCTTGCTTTACAGGCATCCATGCTGTTAAACTCGCAATAAGCCCAGGAGGTAGGCACTGATATCTCCATTTCAAAGAGCAGGAAACTGAGGCTCAGGGAAATGAAAGCACTGGCCCATGGTCCCATAACTAGGATTTGAACCCAGGTCCATCAGCTCCAAAACCTCTGGACTCAATCACAAGGACCTCTGCCAACATCCTCTTCCAGTATGTGCTCCTCCTCCCGCACCTCCCACCCCCACATCCCCATGGAGGGGATCGCTGCTGAGACCTCTCTCCAGCCTCTATCCCTATGACCAGGCTCAACCCCTCCCCCTCGCCTCTCTCCTCCACCGCCCAGGTTCTGAAACTAGGCCCAAAGCCTGCATCTTTTTATTTTTTAAATATATGTTTATTGATTTCAGAGAGGAAGGGAGAGGGAGAGAAATAGAAACGTCAATGATGAGAAAGAATCAGTGTTTGGCTACCTCCTGCATGCCCCACACTGGGGATTGAGCCCACAACCTGGGCATGTGCTCTGACCAGAATCCAACCATGACCTCCTGGTCGATGCCTAACCACTGAGCAACACCAGCTGGACAAACCAGCATCTTTAAAATCCAATTGCATTTGTATTCTTCCTGGGGCAATTCACAATCCACAAGTGATTTCTGGTGCAGACAATGACATTCCTTGTGCCCATGCCATCGCCAGCACCCACCTGCACAGGCCCACACAGACACACAGACTCACTCACTCACACCCAGGCGCCAGGGCAGAGGGAAGCCCAGCTGCTCCCCAGTGGAGGAAAGTGACCCTCCCCCAGCTGGCCTTCCTGGCTCCATCCCCCTTTTTATCTCTCTTTTGAGGGAAAGATTTCATAATAACGAGAATCACAATAATAATGATAATCACAGGAATCAGCCTTCCCAGCTTACAAACCTTTTTCATCTAATTGCCTCACTTGACTCTCCCAGGCTCTGAGAGGCAGGTGTTTTTATATTTCCATGTTGCAAGGGCAGCAGAGGGCCCCATCGCCAGTTAGGAGCAGAGCCAGGGCCCTATCTCCCTTCTCACACCCTCAGTTCCTTCTCGTGCATCATAATGACAGCTCATTGTTACCAGGCACTGAGAACCTATTCTTGCTTAGATTTGGCTGCGCGTTATGAATGCCAGTTTTAATCCACACAATAGCCCAGCGAGGTGAACTTTTTAATGCTCAAGGTAAAGATGAGGTAACTCGGGAAAGTTAAGGGCAGAATGGCAGTCTAAGGAATGTTCCCGAACTAGATGCACATCACTTTAGACAAGTGTGGGAAGGAAGAGAACAAGAGCTTCTATGGGAGCTTTAGGGAAAGTGGATGCTGGGGGCGGGGGGGCAGCGGGGGTGGTGGTGGTGGTAATGAATAGTCTCTTCCTTCTACTCCGGCCCTCCAATTACACTTTGCCTGTGTAATTGTGAGCTGTGTCATTTACTGCTGTCTCTGTGTGCCTAAGGCCAGTCACCAAGAGGCTGGGCCTGGATTTGAACCTGGCAGTCTGGTTCCAGAGCACACGTGATTAACATTTAAGGAACTAGTGCAGAAAGAACTCAGACCTGCAGTCAAAATGCCCAGCTAGCTAGACGCCTGGGGCACCAGCGCTCACCTCTCTCTGCCCCATTGACTTGTCTTGTGAAATGGAGCATGTCATCAACCTTGCCTTCCTCTGCCCTCCCCCCTCACCCCCCTCCCTCCCTCCCACACATTTGTGACCATCAGACAAGATGAAGAGAGGCAGGCTGTTTTCTAAGGAGGAGGGTGCAGGCAGGGTCTTGGGAGTTGGGGTGAGCACACGACTGGTCACCGAGGGTTGAAATGAGTCCAGAATCTGGGGGGAAGGGTGTTGCTTATAGGAGCCTGGTTCTTTAGGCTGGAAGGCTCCCAAAGAGCCTCCAGAGTCCCCAAGCCCCATTTCACCCCTCTTTAGTCTGACAACTGAGCATCCCTACCCACTCCACATGTCTGGGAGCCCCAGATAAGATCTTAGTCATGACAGTGTGTGTGTGTGTGTGTGTGTGTGTGTGTGTGATCATGTTATTTGATAAAGTCACACCAAGGGGAGGGGGTGGGGGCGGCGGGAGAGAAGACTGGGCCTAGGCTGGAAGCCAGAAGGCTAAATGAAATCAAACATTAATGACAGCCATCTGTAAAATGGGACTGAACGCCCGGACCTCACAGGTGGCTGTGAGAATCAAATGAGTTGATGCCCATAACACCTTGGGCTCAGTGCGTGGCCCCGATGGGCTGGCAGCCAGTGACCATTATAACTGCGCTACTTACTGCACACTCGGTATCTACCAGCCAAGCAGTCCTTCCCATTGTAGACACCGGCCTAGGCTCCAGGGAGCACCCCAAGGATATCTAAGACAGTGTGGTTTGCCGACCTGTGGGGTGGTTGATGGTCTCCCAAAAAGGGCGCAGTCTTCATAACTTGCCAAGAAAGTCATCCCGGCCAGGCGGCGCGGGGCCTGGATTTTGATTCCCAAGCGTTTTCTCCTCGGGCGTGAGCGCGCCCCCGGGCGGCGTTTTCCAGGAAAGCCTCCGCTGGGGAGCCCGGAACCCAGTCCCCCCAACCTCGTCCTCCCGCCCGCCCCGGCGGCCACCCTGGGGGCGCGGCAGCCCGGTGCGTGGGAGGGGACGGCGCGCCATTGGCTTCAGCGCGGCACTGAGAGGAGGGACCAGCGCGGGCCTCCAGACTCGGGCAAACCCCAGCCGCGCGGGTGCCGCTCGCAGTCCAGCCCGGCCCTGCCCTGCCCTGCCCGGCGCGGCGGCGTGATGTGAGCGCCCGAGGGCCCCCTGCACGCCCGTTTCGCGAAGCCGGCCCCGGCACGCGCTGGGAACGTAAGTTCTGCTCCCCACCGCCGCTCCGGAGCCTCGCACTTCGCCCCTCTCGCCGCCCGCCGGCCGGTGCCTGCGCAGCTCCGCGGTGCTCCTGCGGCCGCGGGGACCGCTGGGGGCAGTGAGCGGGGCGCCCCGGGACCTCTAGGCACCGGCGGATTCGGCCGGGACCCGGGGATCCTCTCCCTGCTCTCCCAGGCGCCACCCCGCAGCCCTTCTGCTCCTTTCCTCTGCGCTCTCGGCTCGCTGCCCTTCCCTCTGATCGGCTTCCCTCTCCTCAGCTTGGTCCTCCGCTCTTTTCTCTCCCGGACTGCTTATTTCGCCCTCAGCCTCCCGTCCCGGGCTCTCGCTCTTGCTTCGGAGCCAGAGAGGAACGGAGCGAAGAGCAGTTTTCCTCTCGCAGGAGTCAGACTCTGCCCTCGCGCGCAGGTCTCTGTCCCCTCCCCCTCCCCCTCTGCCCCCATCCCCAACCTGCCATTGTTCCCGGGTCCGGGCAGCGCGCGGCCAAAACTTGCGAATCCCCCTCCTCCCCTCTTCGCCTGGGCAGGGCCCCGGAAGGAGATGGCAGAGTTCCCGCAGCCCACAGGTCTGGCTCTACCTTCTGGTTCAGGGGGCCGTGGGAGCGGGGATCCTGGGCCAGGGGACCCGGAGGCGCCCACAGCCCGGAGCTCCCCGCCCGGAGTCTTGCAAAGTGGGTAACTGGCTGGAGCTGGGAGATAAAGGACACCTTGGAGGGGGCGAGGAGCAAGGCCTTAAAGGATCTCGGTGTCCAGACTGGGGTTGGGGGGCGGGGGGGGAGCTGGCAGAAACGGAACCCCTGCCTCAGCCCCAGTTATTGGGGGCGGGGTGGGGCAGGCACAGGTGGAGACCAGCGCGCCTCCCCCACCCGCCTCCGAGTGGCGCGCTGAGCTGGAAGGGGGCAGTGTGGGGCCTTGGGCTTGGCGCTGGGTGGATGGGTCCCCGGCTGTCGGCAAAAAGCTCGCACCTATGCTGCGCGTCTGTAGAGGAACCGCCTGGGACGCCGCGCCCATCCCCAGCGCGCCTAGCGGAGCCTGGCTTTCGCTTTGGGTCCCCTCGCTCCACTCTCCACGCCCCCAACCAGTGCCGGTTCCACGCCTGCCTCCTTGCCTCCCTAGGGGAGCGTATTTCTCGGTTGGATCGGAGCGCTGGGGGCGGGGGCAGGAGCGTGGCGGAGGCCGTTAAGTCCGAGGTTCCTCCGGAGCCAAGGCTGCCTCCACCACCTCAGCCCCACCGCTGCGCACTTCCTGGTTGATTTCCTTCAGACAAACTTTTCCTGATGGGGCTGTCTAGCGGGATGAAGGCCCCGGGGCTGCAGGAATGCTCACCCCAACTCTGTGGCCTCTTGGACCTTTGCCCCAGGAGGCCTGTGGAAGAGGGGGGTCCACAACCCTCTCATCCTGCAGCCTTCAAATCCCAGGGACACTGCGGGTGGGGTGGGTGGTTGTTGGAGAGACATACCTTAGCCGAAGCTCCGCACTCAGACCAGGAGGAGGAAAGGTTTTTCTTGTGGGGTTGTTAGGAGATAAGGTACTGGGTCTTCTCCAGGCCTCTGTGATCCCGTCTGAGAAATGGGTCCCCGAGGTACCCTCTGCCCCCAGTATCCTGGAAGCCAGCTGCCCTGGCTTCTCCTTTTCAGACCACATGCTGTCCCCTTAATCAGTCCTCCCAAATTCAGGTGAAGGGCTGAGGCCCAAAGCCCTTCACTCGGATCTGGATGTCAACACCAGCTGGGGCCCACTGTTCAAGTCTGTTCTCTGCAGGAGCCCCCTCTCCCCCCTGCTCTCAGGCCCCCTGCAGCTTCTCCCAGCCCACGCTCAGCTGCTTCCTCTCCCCCAAGATCTCACGATAGCAATCCCCACATCCTCCCAGTGCAATTATATCCCACACGTCCCTGGACCGATCTGTGCTTTCACTCATTGAAGAAAACGTGAGCTGTACACCAACAATGGTTTAATGAACAAAGCGCCCCGCTGGGAGACAGCTGGGAACAAAATAAAGATTCTTGCCTTCTGGGAACTGACACTTAAGGGGCAAATAACTAACAAAATCAATGGTGTATTGGGAGGTGAAGGGGAAAAGTTGAGTGTTGGGCCAGGGAAGGGATTGTTCATTTAAATAGGGTGGTCAGGGAGGCCCCCCCTGAGGAGGTGACTTTTGAGGTCAGGCTTTGAGGGAGTGAGCTGTGGGGATATCTTTGGGAAGGAAAGATCCTGCAGAGAGCAGCCTGTGCCGAGATTCTGAGGCTGGAATGTGCCTGCTGTATTTGAGGAGCCAGTGGGGACGAGACAGGAGGCAAGGCTGGCTGAGAAGGGATGGAGCCTACCCATTTCACAGAGGAGGGAAGTGATGTCCTGAAACAGCATGGAGCGGCAGCTGTAGGGGGGGGTGGGGGGTGCCTGATATTCTGACTCTGGGCCACAATACTTTCCCTTCACTCTGCACCTCAACCATTCATCCGCAGCCCTGGTTGTGCCCCTCCCAGGGCCAGAGCTGGCCAAGTGCCAGGGACCTGGAGGGGAGCCACCCAGGCTTATACCCAAGGGGCTCCATATCTCTGCAACCTGTTGTCAGTTCCCTGTCCACCTGTTGTCAGTGCACTCAGGGCAGCATCTTCCTGCTGACCCAGGGTTCTCTCTTCCCATTTCCTTCCCATGGCCACCCCCTTGTAAGTGCCCCACTCTGTAGTTAATGATGATGGAGTCCCTGGAGGGTGCCTGTCCTGAAGCTTATGGTAAGGTCAAGGGGAAATCTGAAGCAAGGGACTGAGTCTCCTAGTCTGAGAATAACAACAGCAACATTACTATTGAGCGTTCACTACGAAACAGGTACTGTGCTTTTCTAGGTGTTTCGTGTGAGTTTTTTCACAGGTGTCATTATTACACCTGCTTAACAGATGAGAAACTGAGGCTCAGAGAGGTGGTGTCCCTGGCCCAAGGCCATGCAGCTAATCTATATATGTAAAAGCCAAGCGACCTGAACAACTGGAATGACGGGAACAACAGTCGCTATGACGCACACTGCGGCTGGCCAACCGGCCTGATCAGGGGCAGGGGTGACCGGCCAACCTCCTGCAGCCCCTCCCCCCGATGGCCTCAATTGGGGTGGACTGGCCGGACCCCACCCATGCACGAATTCGTGCACCGGGCCTCTAGTAAGTGATAAGCACAAACCTTTTTAGTTGTGACCTCCTCTTTTAATTACTAAGCCAGGGCCCCAAACCCTGGGGGAGATGTCAGTCCTGGACCGTGGTTCTGGCCCATCAGCATCCTGGGAAAAGTATAGGGACCCTTCTGCCTGCCTCCTCCAACTCCCCAGAAGGCATTTGCTTCTGAAAAAGTTCACTCAAATGGTGCAGTCTCCCTTCAAGGAAACTTCCCTCCTCCCCTCCTCCCTCTCTGAGTTCCTGAGTAGCTAGGGGGGCGGGGGGGGGGGGGGGGGGGGGGTGAGAGGGGGGGGGAGGCGAGAAGGATGTGTCCACTGCCTTCTCAGAGGAGCTCTGGCTGCAGGGAATCCGGGAACCAGGCTCTCCCAATGACCTCAGCCCCGTGGGATCCTGAAGCACCAGCTGCCTCTGAGGGTCCTGACATGGTCCCTGGAAAGGACAGGAATTCTCCATGTGCCCTGTCTGCCCTTTGTGAGTGACAGCAGGGCCAGGGAAAACCCTCTTAGTGACTTCTGAGTGGTGACAGACAGCAAGACCCCGCCCTCCCTGCACACAGCAGCAGCTTCAGACCCCAGGTCAAGGCCCCCAGGGATGTGCCCTCTGGGCCCTCTCCCCTCTGCAGCTCAGCAGGCGATGTTTACTTTCTGTCCCTGAAGCTTTGCAGATACTTGTTTGTGATGGGAGCTCCGGCTTTCCTGTGCCTTTCTGGAGATGAGGCACCTTCAAAACGAGAACTAGTGGCGGGACCTGGAGACCGGCAGCTGGAGTGTGGCTAGTGGATGGCAGGGTTTGGAAGCCAGATCCTGAATGTCACAGCCCGGGGGGGCCCTAGGGACCACACTCCCATATTTTCAGATGCGGAAACTGAGTCCCAGAATCTGGCCCTGTGGCAGAATCGGCCGGTGGCCTCAGCTGACTTGTCTCAGCCCAGTGGCTCGGGCTCCCCCACCAGCCTTCCAGCTTCAGTGGGAGCCCTCTGCTGCCAGCTCGCGCTCCTGGAGGCTCGTGGAAATGGAGCGTGGGATCCCTCTCCTGACTACGGAGCTTTGTCGTGGGAACCGGGCTTGTTGCCACAGCAGGATTCGCATCATGCTCCCTCCTCCCCCTGCCAGTTCTACTCTGTCATCCTCGCCCTTTGCAGCAGCGTGGACCCTGAGCTGAGCCCGTGGTGACGGTGACGGTGACAGAGATGGATGATGCAGCCTGGCTCACCGGCTCCTTGAGAGACCAGGCTGACTAAGGCTGGCCCAGCCTTTAGATTCTAAAGTTTAGAATAATTACGCTTTCCGGGGGACATGCAGCAAGGGAGCCCTGCCTCATGCCAGCCTGGCCTCGGCTTCCTCCCTTAGCCAGTGGGCCCTGAGACCTGCCCCCCCCCACCCCCCGGCAACAACCTGCACCCAGAGACCACTGTGATGATGTCGGTTATGCAGCTGTGTCCATCCGGCCTCCCTTGTGTCCTGCAACTTCCTAGTTTAGCTCTAACCCACCTACGATCTAGTAAGTCGGTCATTGTCACCCCCATTTAGAATTAAGGAATGGAGAGGTTCAAATGCCCAGCCAGGATGTGAACACAGACCCCTTTGCCCCCCTACCCCCACCCCACAAGATTCACTGCCTGAGGGCCCAGGTCATGGGTTCTGGGCTGGGGGTCTTTAAACCCCATCTTGCCCAAAGGAGTGATGGGCTGCCCCAGACAGGGACCACAGGGTGGATGGTGTGGCTCTGCCCCCTGGCTTGGGCTCTGTGCCTCCCTTTCTCTCTGGCCAGGGCCTGCATCTCTTACCGCCTCCCACTGCCTGATGCTGCCAGTCCCAGA